TCTTCATAAAATGTGACCGTAACTTCTTTAACTGAAAGAATTCTTTCTGGTTGTATTTTTGCTAACTGAAATGTTTCTGTCATTATTATTATTATTATTATTATTATTATTATTATTATTATTATTTCACTCTCATACACTAATTTCTATTCGTTATTGTTCTCCTTTTTCTTATATGCACTTTACAATCTCTATCCTTCCACATTCTTATTGTTATTGTATGGCACATATATATTTGAGATCTCTTTGTACCAATATTTATATGTTCAAATAAATAAAATTAATACTGACTGAATTCTATTAACAAAGTTGCAATATCTCCTCTATTTTAAATAACTCAATATCAAGATTTTAAGTAGTTGAAAGTAGTCGGCATTATTTATCACTTTTTATTTCAATTAAATAAAACCAAGAAGATCAATGAATTTATTTCTAATTACTTCAAGTTAAAGTTGGAAAAAGAGGACAATTTTAGAAACTTCAATCAAAATGATTCGAAGTGAATGGTAGTAATTCAAATTCAATTGATTTCTTGTGTTTTTATCGGTCATAATTTTTTATGCTTAATTGATCATACTTATATTCATTTTTATCGATTTGATTCATTAGCATTTAGCCTACAATTAATTGAACTATTGTATAATACATGTATTCTTTGTGACGATGTAAACATTATGGAATTAAATGTAAACTATTCTTTCCGTTCTATCAATGTTTTGGTTTGATTGGTTGTTAGCGCTTTTAGTTTACTAGCTTTCTTATACACCTTTAAGTTATTGCATGCTACTATGTGAAAAGAGTTGTTACTTTTTTTAGTTTTTTGACTTCCGTACAGGACATAAAGTTATCCTATCTCCTATGCTCCACTACGAGGGGTAACAATAGTAAGTAAGTAAGTATCTCTATTAGCGTGCGGATTACTAACTTTAAAATGTTGTTGTGTGACAGACACTCGGTCTATTTAAGTTTCTATAGATTGTATTGTAACTTAAGAAACCTAAATACGTTAATCGTTCTTTTTAATGTATAACACTTCCGCAATGGAATTCAAGATTCTTCCAGCACTTTGTTTGGTTTAGAATAATATCCATGAGTTCATTACATTTTCTGCCTACATACTATATAGATATTGTTAGTGTAGATTTGTTGGTCTCAGAATTAACGGCAGTAATTCTGTCAAGTTTTAATGCTCCCATGTTCATCATCTTAATTAACAATATGTTCTTTTTCTCATCAATATTAACCGACTATTTGAAATGCAACTGTTAATCTTCGGGTAGTCACTAAAATATCCATTCAAATACAAACCATTTATCACTTAGAGCTACCAATCCATACTAGTTAACACTTTCTATCATTGCTAGTCCTTGCTCAATCTTATTCTGTGTACATTTTGTTTTATGATATCTACATTGTAAATTAGCGAGTAATTGTATGCATTCATTTTTCTCTTAGTTCTTACAGTCACTCTATTTCAGAATATTATTGCTAAACTATTAGTATTTCTCATAATCTTAAGCGCTGTGTCACATAATAGTCCATTTTCTTAAATCACGAACTGATCATAGTTAGACCAACATTGAAAACTTGGAAGCACTAAACGTTCGTTTCGTCGTCCTACTATGGGTTGCCTCAGTAGCACACATCCGCTGTGGAATTTAATCATTTACCCACCATTTATTCGGTAATTTATTATGTACATTCAAATTAACTATCTACGCACTTCCCATTTTTGCTTAAAATTCTATAACATTTTAATTTCAGTACACTTATTTCTCTCACATGTATTGACCTAGTTTGAAAGGCAAAATAATTGATTACCTTATCATGCTATTTGTTATACGCTTATGGTTATACTATCAATTATCTTTTACTTCTAATTTATTATAACAACAGAAGATACCGATTACGTCATTGAGCAAAATAAAAACAGTCCAGTGAAGAAAATATTCTGTTCAATGATATCTTTTACTAAAGCTACATAGTAATAATGATTTTAAAAAACGTATTTATCAATTGTTCTGTTGTTGAACATCCGGTTAATAACAATCGTTCATGTCCATCACAGTATTCACTCAAAACTGCTCATAACGGAGGATTTTACAGCCTATCAATTTAAGTTTGATCCTTTTGTTCAAAAGTGATGCATTCAATCTCTTCTGTAACCGTGGTCCTAACAATCTCTTAAATTGCTTTTGATATGTGTTCATCTTTTTTATAAATTTTTGTTCCTTATATAAGTGGTCTTCATATCCTCTCCCTTTAACTGTTACTCAACTCTTAGGCCTTTTTAAAACTAATTTTGGGTACCTTTGTTACTAACCCAGCACATTTCTACCATATATCAAAACAACTATAAATACGATTGAACATGTTTATTAAATTACATTATCTAAAACAGAATTCATTATAACTTGTTGTGTAATTGATATGATATAATTGTTATTGTTTTACAATTTACATTGATTAGTTGTATCTTTTTCACGTAGGCATATAAATATCAGTTAGTGTATAATATACTGTAAACATTTTTGGAATCCACGCATAAACCTATTCTCTTCAGATGATTATTTATGATATATTCAATTGAAATTCTATAAATTAAAGCGCATACAAAATAATGATACAACATTTATGGTATAAAACACTAAACCAATCAAACATAATGTGAATATTCGGAATACACATACTCTAGTACACTAGAGTTTATCAACTGTCTTCGAAATTCTGATTACAGAAAGACTTAGACTATCAAGCGGGAGATTTTTGTTTTTGGATGAAGTTTCATTCTTGAAATCAGTTGGTTTAATCATCGACCTTTCAAATACCCGATTTCTATCTGAAGTTTGTTCTGATGATATTGTGCGGAAGAACAATGATAGCATCATGACTAAACACTTCAACTCAGAGAATGAAACTTTACTGAAAACATTATTGCCATTAATGTGATTTGGAATCTAAATAACATTCACTACATTTATTTGTTCAAGAGTCGCACATATAGCAGTCAGAATTTCATCAGTACCATGAAATAGCATTTTGTAAATCTAGTGATGAATGTTTTTTGTAATAAATGAAGGTTTTCGGGACTTCAGTCAATTTATTCCAATTGACTTTCTGTTACAATATCACACTTCATAGTGGTATTTAGATAAAATTGTATTCTTTTAATCGACTAAATTGAATTCACCATTGAAGAACGAACAGGACACTACGTGGATTTTTTTATCGTAAAGTGATCTGTTCTGTTTAGTTATTACGGTATACCGAAAGGTATGTTTCAGGTTTAACTTCAGCTTGTTCGCTGAATCAATAAATTACATGGCGCTAATTGAATGTGGAAGATAAACTGACGTATTCTTTCTTCTTCTATAATATAATCAAGTGGGTACGTATTACCATCAAAACCAATTCGTTCACTTCAGTAATCTCTAGATACATTTAAAGAGTACAGTTGACCTTTGACTGCAAAGAATTGTTGTGTAACGAAAAATACAACTCTATCTAATTTTTCAACTAATCCATCACTAAAATAACAAGTTGTATTCAATAGTTATTACTAATTATCCTATCTATAGGATAAATCATTTGAAAAGATTATCCGGATGACATAGCAGAGGCTATACTAATCAATATACAATGTTGATTCTTAATATAACCATTTATTATAATAACAACTACAAGTAAAAATCTGTTGGTCTAACAGTATAATTAACTACACACAATAGATCAAAAGTACAAATTGATAATCATAAGACGGGTGTACTAGTAGTAGTGATAAATATAATGGAATAACAAAAGTTCTGACCAATGTTTCATATCTTAATGGAGATCAGTCCCTTCTCCTACATATAGTGTAAGCTACAAGAAACCGAACCTATAACCTTAGTTTATGTATTCAAAAGAAATTTGCGACAACCGTGTCCTTCCCTTACTCGTACGTGGCTTACTGGATAGTTTTATCGTATATTTTTTTACTTGCTTGTCACATTTCGTTTATATTCTTTACTTCTCATCACGTAATTTTAGTAATGGGTTGTGATCATTTAAATATATTTATTTAAGTTAGGCCTACTACTTTCAATGTTGAAATACTGACTGACTAGAACTTTTACTATTTTGTCATACTTATTGGCTACTAATAGTACACCTGTATTATTAGTATCAATTTGTACTTTTGATCTATTGTGTGTAGTTATACAGTCTATATGATTGTGATTGTTCACTGATAAATTACCTTGATTGCTTTAATATTTTCATCTATCTATATAAATATTCATGTATATTCTAAACTGAAATTTGATGACGATCTGATTGAAAACACTATTCGTTCATTTATATGTCGGTTATTCTTATTTTCATAATAGAAGTCTTAAATACTTTGGTTATTGCATATTATTATAATAATTTAATTCGCAACAATTCAACAGCTACTTCTATTTGACTATTTTTTCAATTATTCAGTATTATTTACACTTTTGTGTTCTTCATCATATCATTCTCCTCTTTTTTTTTACTAACATGAACTGTTTCATTATAAGCGGAAATGATGGTGGCTAGCAGTGGAATCCAGAACGTGCTTTTCATCCTATTCGTGACTTGTCGGCTGAATGTACCAGCATTCCAGAGTTGATGTTCGTTCCGGGACTTGAACCCGGTACAATTCGCTTCAAATGCCATTATCACATTGTCCACTTAGCTACTGAGTCCAGATAGCCATCATCTTGTTCAATAGGGTGAAGCTTAATTCATTTTTGCATTGATTATTTGAATCTTCTCATGTTAGTGTCTATCTGGACTCAGTAGCTAAGTGAATAACGCGATAACGTTTGAATACATCAATGAGATGATTAAGATAACCAATACAGTAATACATGAACTATCTCATTTTGAATGTGTACATTTGTTTAGTTCATCTATCAGTTCTATTCATATTCATATAAAATCAATAATTTCTAAATGATTAATTCATATTATTTTGTTTCATTTATTTTCTTCAGGTATTCAATAGCTAACTATATAATAATAATAATAATAATAATAATCATAAGTTGGAAATATGTAATCCCTTTTAACAACAAAATATCTTCTATTGGAGCTTCCTATCTATTCTACTCACTTTTCTTTCTTACAATCACCATTTATCAATTAATAAACAGTAATGATGAATAAACTAAATTTCATTCAAGTTTTATGATCTTTCATTTTTCAATGGTATATATATGTTCAATGTGTTCAATTCGATATTGTTTTACTGCATTTATTTATGTTGTTTTAATTGTTTATTATATTTCTTCTATTGTATTGTTTTGTATATTATATGATTATTATTTTATCAAATATTACTATTCACTTTATGTTTGCATTTATGTTGTGTGTGTGTGTGTTTTGCTTGTTTGTTTGTTTTCTTGTTTCATCGATTTATTTTTCATTCTGTTGTTAGTATTATGTAACCATTTGGTTTGAATGAATGGGAAACACTTGTCAATCATATACTACTTGTTTATTTATTTTAATCAGTAATCATTTTTATATTTTTCGATAATATAAGTTTGACTTGACTTCATTATGTTTGTGAATATTGTCTTATTATTTCTGTGTTTCTTTTTTTTGATCTTTTTTTTCAATTTAGTTCATTTCTTAGTCTTTAATTGTTAGTGACGTGTTTATTTCCCTGTGAATGTATGAATATATTCAATTATATTTCGGTTCATCAGTTAAATATTCTATTTGAATGGTAATGTAACTAACGATCGTCTCTGACTTACTTAATATTAAAATTCAGTTTACCACAATGTTATAACATTATATAAGATGGATGCTATGGAATTTACTGACAAAATCATCACCGAATACTTGAGAAGAAGATATTCAATGCCACTCAGTTATCGATTAGTACAATATCTCTTTTCTTATGATTTAAACTGAAATATAGCGGTAATAGTCTTTCTGTTTATCATAGTGATTAATTTCATGGGTAAACAGAATAGTGTGTCTATCTGGCTGTGTATTTCACTTGTTGATTAGTATTAGCTGTGGTAATATTCAAACCAACACTACATATTCCATATATTGCAACCTAGAAACATTTAGTTAGTACATCTTAAGCTGGGTGATAATAAACACACTACCGAATAGTGATACAACATTTATGTCATAAAACACCAAACTAATCAAAAATAAAGTGAATATTCGGAATATACTTTATTACGAATGACTCTCTAGTACATTAAAGTTTATCAAAATATTAAATTTAGAATGTAGACTCATGATTAGTTCACAACTTCAACCTCTTTTGTTAAGTGGATGTCTTAATGGTGTTCAAAATGAAGGGTATTTCTCTAAATGAGAATATTTTGTCATATAGGTCATTTCATGTATGCAAAGGATCCTACCAATGTTGTGAGTTTGTTGCATATTGGCTGTTCAAGTCTTTTAGTGGTTGCCTTATCACATGAGTCATGGCGTATTCTGAATTTCTAATTTTCCCACAAAGAACTGGACTTTTACAAGAAAATTATTAAGGTCTTATCCTTAAAATCTAAAGGCGTATCACTTTTTCTCCCGTCACATTTTACTGCTAATCTTTATGTTCATTCGTTTTGACTCAAGGAAGTCGATAAATATTGCTAATAATCTGCAATAGGGATTGAATAAAACATTAAGCAAAGTGTATGGCAACTTTGTAACATTGCGGCCTGATCAATCGAATCCGTCTAACATAAAGACTACGACATGATACCGATTTTCACTCAGTGATTTATTAATATATTTAAAACTCCAAAGTTTGTGAAATGTCACTGAGCCATAACTAAATCATCCGGCAGTCGGGTGACTGGATGTCGAACAATTCGTTGGTCCATGTCAAAGTCGAGGTCAACCAACACGCATCAGTTAATCTCACGACTCGGACTAGCCAATGTGGTGGTGGTCGGGCTTTCGCTTGTACCTACTCTAACTAATATATTTATGTAATATCTTTTGTGTTATATGGTCCTCAAAGCAGCTCTAGTACCTTGATACGACGAAGGGGTAATCCACGTTAGGTGCTGACCATGAAGTATGACTTCGAAGTTAGCTGTTGGATACACTATTCCTGTTTAACTCGAGTAGGCTCTCAATCATTCGACATAGATCATCTTCGCTGGTCATCCACATTACAAAAGCTTTAAGGTCTCTGTTGAAGTAAGAAGCATAACGGCAATATTTTTCACTGTATTATATTGAATAAGTTGTGTTATCACAAGTACGTGTCACTAAATATAGCTACCGAGACCTTTTTGACAACGAATAGATCGAAAGTGGAATGGCATGCCAGTCATTGCTAAGGCCTTTCAAAATATTAGCCTTATGAGCTCTTATCAGTTCCTTAGTTGTATTACACTGGCCTCAATGATGCGCTATTCTCTCATCATAACAGGCAATACAACAGTATGGATTATTTGGGTAACGCACCTGTAAAATATTTGCGTTTTCGAACAGCTTTACAATGTCTGAAAGTGGATGGGAGTCACATTGTCTCAATAAACTACCTTATTGAATCTTGTATTCCTTTGAGCTTTAGAAAGCCTCAAGAATTTTATTTTTCATATAAATTCATTTATTGTTGTATTGACTATACTAGAGATAGAAAAGGACCCGACTATCACTTTATAATCTCTTGAAGTAATGAATTACTGCCTTCTTTGACTTCAAAATAAATACAGGTGTCAGTAATTTCTATATTTCTGATAAACTAAATCGTGAATTGTAGAAGGAAGGTGTAGTACATACTCTCTGTTTAGATTTTTGGCTAATCTGTCATAACAAGGAACCGGCTGATATATATATATATTTAATAATAAGTGGTTCACTTGATATTCAGCGTATGCTTCCAGTATAGTCAATCTTGACGTAGTTAGGTATCTAGAAACACACAGTTATACATCCTGGCTAACATCTAGGATTTTTTTTGGTTGAGATCATGAATTAATTGATGTTAGACCACCGTTGGAAACCTGGAAGCACTGGACGACCGTTTCGTCCTAGTATGGGACTCCTCAGCACTGCTCATCCACGATCCCGCGCCCCGCGGGATTCGAACCCAGGACCTACTGGCTTCGCGCCTGAGCACTTAACCATTAGACCACTGAGCCGACATCCAATGGTGTTAGTGTCTAACATCAACCAATCCAATCAATTAATTCATGATCTCAACCAAAAACTTAACAATCTCCACAACCCACATACTGATAATATCTAGGATCTCGACGTATTTCAGTTGTTCATACATATATCACCCAAATCCTGTCCCGGAATAAATAAAATACACTATTCAATCAAAAACCATGTTTAGGTAAAGTTTGTATGTCTTTTGAGGATAGCGTTTATGATAGTCGAGATTAGTGTCTGCAACTCCAGGTGTAGCGTCTGGAGTAACAGTGAGACACCTGAGAATCCTTAGATATATTTCAGGTTTTACTTCTGCAATACAACAACTTCTTTAAATACATATTTTTGATGCATTTCTTATATGACTTCGCATCTAACTGTTCATCAAGTAATACTTGGTGCTGAAACATAACTCAGAATCGTGAATTTTTATGCTAAATGCAGACTCCATTAAGATGACGTAAGAGGTTCTCTCTTATACATCTTAATGTTAATATAAGTGGTAAGTTTGATTGGAATGTCAAGACATATCAACTGTTTGAAAAATCAAACATGTTGAGATTCGTTCTAGCAAGAAGCACCGTCGCGTGAAAACGATGCGTTTTGCACCTTAATACAAATGTTAAGACTTAATGTTACTGAAAAGAGACCAAGGATTCAAAAAAACGTAATCTACCTAACAGAAAGTATGGTCAGCACTTTTTTCGCAGCACTGGCTACTCATCATATATTACCAATTAATTACCGGTGAATTATTTTCTATCTCGTCTTTGGTGTGATTAAATTTAGTGTATGTTCATCAACGCCAAATTGCTCTTAAGGTAGGCTTTTATTTGACTTTTAAGTAGATAACTGCGAACCCATTGCTACTACTTATAAAAGGACTTCAGAATCTCTTCCTAAGTTACAAACTTCCTCAAGTTTGAATAACTGTCTAAATGCCTTAACGTTCCAGAAAAATTGTAGCTGTGACAGTTTTTATAATTTAACTAAATTGCCGTGTTTAATATTTAATCATTGTTGGGTTCACTGTAAGCCGATTTTTCATCACTTCGTTGAAAACATTTCTGAATAAACGCCTTAGCTAAGTGTATGAACGAGCAATCATCCGGAAAGTGAATGAAGCATGCTGTTCACGAATTTCAAATCAAGAAAGTAGTATATTTCTAAGTATTTATTTGATCATGTGCCGCTGGAATTACCTGTAGTATATACGCACATAACTTGGCAATTCGCTTTTCAGAGGTCAAACTAACAAGTATTTAGAAAGTAGTCAGATTCAGATTTCAGATTTGTGTAGTAAGGATAGAAGGCCTACGGCCTATGTTATTCCCTTTCTAGTATGCTTCTGTGAGTGTCCAGTCTTCTCTTGAAAGAGTCAATTGAAGGTGCGGATACCACTGCTTCAGGCAGCAGGTTCCAAGTATTGATGACTCGGTGTGAAAACCTGTATGCCACGGGTATTTTGTTCGTTCTTGGCTTTTCTACTCGCCTGCTATGTCCTCTGAGGTGTCCCGATCTAGTGGGAAGAAAGGGAGAGAATAAGTTAGGTCCGAAATCATTTCTCAGTATTCTGTACATCAATATTAGATCTCCCCTTAGTCTGCGATAGGACAGAGTAAAGAGGTTCAGTTTTTCAAGCCGCTCTTCATATGATAAAGCCCGGAGTTCCGGAATTGCACGCGTAGCTGCCCTCTGTACCTTTTCTAGTATGTCTGAGTCACCTTTTAAACAGGGGCTTGCAGCCTGAACACAGTTCTCTAACTTAGTTCTCACTAAGGATGTGTATAATGTGGTGAACATGGTAGTGTCAAGCTTAGTGAATGTCCTTTTTAAAGCCCAGAGGGTTCGAAACCCCTTGACTGCGACCTCCCGGCAATGGGCCGTTGTCTTAAGATCATTGCTCACTGTCACCCCTAGGTCCTTATGAGACCGGACTACGGGTAATGACACATCCCCTATGTTGTACGTATTAACCTTTGAATCCCCCAAGTGCATGTAGACACACTTTTCCGAGTTGATAGGCATTAGCCACTCTTTAGACCAGTTTATCATATTATTTAAGTCCGCCTGAAGAGTAAATGCGTCTTTGTCTCCAGTTATTACTCGCCAAATTTTTACATCGTCAGCGTATAATAACATTGGAGACTGTACTATACTTGTAAGATCATTAGCGTACATTATAAAAAGTAAAGGACCTAGGACGGAACCTTGGGGTACTCCACTAAGTGCTGGTCTCCAGATGGAGCACTTGGAATTTATTCTTACTTTTTGCCTACGACCTACTAGGAACTCCTTAATCCATTTTAAAAGAGGTCCGGCAATACCAAGGTTTGCCAACTTCAATAGCAGTCTATTAGTTGGCACCTTGTCAAAAGCCTTACTGAAGTCTATGTAGACAACATCCACTGAGTTTCCGTTGTCTAGCGCATTAATCCAGAGCTCCCTAGCTATAAGGAGGTTTGCTGTACAGGATAGACCCTTTCTAAAACCATGTTGTGCCATGTTCAGCAAGTTATTGGTTTCCATAAATGCTGTTATGGTTCGTTTGATTATTCTTTCCAGTATTTTAATTGCAACACTGGTGAGGCTTACGGGTCTGTAACTTGATGGAACTTGTCGTAGACCTGTTTTATGTATGGGAGTGACGATTGCGTCCTTCCAGTCCATAGGTAACACACCTTGGTCAAGTGACATTTTGAATATCACAGTCAGTGGGGCTGCGATATATTCGGCAATATGTCTCAAGATTTTAGGGTGTAGTTCATCTGGTTCTGTTGACTTTTCCATGTTTAGGG